AGGCTGGGGAGCTGGAGAGGAGGAGGGGGTGGATGGAGGGAGCCTAAACCGCTTCCGGATCCTTTTAAACTCTCCGAGCCAGCTGAAAAGCGCCAGGCGCGCCCAGGGAACCTAACCACGCGCCCCTTCCGGAATTGAAAAGTGAATGTTCCAGGGCTGTAGGAGGAGAATTCTTGGAAGAATCGGAGCGGGGCGGCGGGTTCCTCCTCTCCAACTCTCCAGTCCCGAAAAACGCCCGCACTCATTTATTATTATTATTATTATTATTATTATTAGGGCCAAGTGCTGTTCCAGCACGCCGGTACGTTTATGTAAGAGATGGGTTACCCATTCCTCCTTACAACCCATTCTGAAAACGCGAGAAAACCGCTGTCTCCAAGAAAATGCGATGAAAGGGCCCGGAAAACCCCCTCGGTCCCAGCCCCCGTTTCCTTCCTTTTTGCGTGTGCAACAAATGGGGGTGGTCCGACTTCGTTTCTGTGGCCAAAACTGGCTGCACGCTCAGTAAAGCCTCGGACAATCCTGTAATCTCAGAGACTGACTCTATAGCAGAAAAGGGGATTAAAAACAATCCGTGCCAAAGTCCCCCTTCTTATTTCAACGCCTGGACGTGCTGCAGACGCCTGTCAACCTGCAAACGGCGATATCCCCCGAACATTTAGGCCTCGGGCTGAACATAAGAAACAAAGGCGTTAAGAGAGTCAAGATCAGGTCCGATTTTAGGCTTGTATACTCGGAAGTGCGTCCCCAACGGGTAGGTGTTAGCCCAATGCCTTTAAGATCAGGCGGTTGGGATTCCACGCCATATGTCTTCATTCAGGTTTGGTACCTGCCTAAAAAGCAGAGACACACACAAACACCACACGATCGCCCGCTTGCATGCTAGTCAGCCTCTATGGCTATTTAGCAGCTGTTCTGGGGAGGCGTGCAATGCGCCCTCCATCCACCCTAATATGCCCTCTGGTGAGCAGAGGTGAGCCATCCACTCGCTTGCTTTTTTTTCGTGGAAACCGCCGTGCGCCGTCGTTTCTTGCTCGGCTTTTGACCTGGTGGAAGTTGCACCTCGGCCCATCTTCTTTTCAGGCTTTCCTGACCTTTCACCGACCAAAACTGACTCTAGTTCCCAAGCGGCCGGGCCACAACCAACCCAAAATGACTCTTTGCTGTCCGACAGACTGAAGCAGTTCGGGCAGGTTCCTTCAGACTCCTTGGGAAGGCCCTGTCTTCCCACTCCGTCTGTACCTCCCCGATCGACCCTCTTTCCCGTCTAATCCCCATCGCTTCCCTCTCTGACCTGCCTTGTCTTTTCAGACGTTTACACAGCGCCTAGTAGTTTGGCGCACAAGAACTCGGAGTCAACGATTCCCCAGCCCCGGCCGCTTCGCCTAAAGTTGGTTGCAAATCCAGAAGGACTTTTTCATCGCAGCCCCAGAGTCCCCCGCCCGTTTCCTTTTGAGGACTGTTTCCTTCACAGCCAAGTATTAATTTGGCGGCCCCACGTCGATTCCCCGAAGGCTCCGAGCCTAAGGGCCGCTTGCGAGGAAGTTAAGTCTTACAGCAGCCAGGAAACACTTCGCTTCCGAAGTCAGCGAGCTTAGAGCGCGGTTGCAAAAGGAGGAAGGCCGGGCGAGGTTTCGCTTGACACCCTGTGCGCGCGCGCACCTGTGCGCGTGGATTCGTGTTGGCCTCGTTCAGTCGTGGTGCGGGCGCAGGAAATAAAAATAAAAAGCGATTGAGTCCCCACTCCTCCCACCCCATTGCTTTGTCAACCTGGATGCAAACCGGTTTATGCTTCGGATAAGTTGGACATAACCCGAGGTCAATTCGCAGCCAAGCTTGAAGCGCTACTAGTCGGCCGGTTTGGCTTCGCCCGCCGTGTGGTCAGTGGTGGTCTGAAAGGCACAGCGGCGAGACTCCCCCCCACCCCAAATCAGGGGTGTTAAATAGGCAGCGGAAGGCAGTCTAGAGAGAAGTCCCAGTTCGCTTCACCCGGGGCAGTTTTGTGCTGCTGAATGGGTCCCCCCAACTGAAGTCCCCTCTCTCCCCCCCCACTCCCGCGTCAGATAGGTATTTTTAAGAATTCGGAGGCGTGTGAACGTTTCCTCCCCATCCTATGGCGGCACCCTCTAAAACCCGTGGCTTTTAAATAAGTTCAAGGGAGGGGGGAAAGTTACGGCTTAATCTGCGCCCTCCCCGTTTCCTTTTTGTTTCAAATGTCCAAACTGAAGCTCCAGAGGCGATTCCGATCCAATAACAGTCTTAGCGCTTGGGATTTACTTCCAGGGGTAAGATGTGTGAGCTCTATTAATAATCATAAAAATCCTGCTAACCCTCTTTTTAAAATTAATAACTCTGTAATTATAATAATTTTATGTGCTTTTTTTATAAGAAGAGGTTAATGTTGTCACAGTGTGGGGACAGGAAGGGGGAAGTCAAGCGCGATACCGCTGCTTATACTGACACCTTCCTATTTTATTAGGAGACATTATTATTATTAGACATCTGCAGGTAGAGAATTAAAATTAAAATCGCTTTCAACAATTCAATACACTTTTTATCAGCCATCTATCTGAAAATCAGGAACATTCATCATCGGAGGCATTCTCCCTGAAAACAAGAACCCATTCAAATTTTATACAAATTATCATATTTATCATAGTCTGAAAATCTGGAGTAACGTCTCCACAAACTGTCTGCCAACTCCCTGGGGAACTGAATCGCACTTCGGAGCAGCTAAAAGAGATTCTCTCTCCCTCTCTCTCTCTGTCTCTTCCACCCTCCTCCTCTCTCCCTTAACCCCTTTCCTGATTCCTGATACAGAAACGGAAGATGAAGATGAAGAAGAGGAGGACACGGAAATAATAGTATGGAAAAAATAGATTTCTCTCTCCCTCCGCCCCCCCCCCGCCCGTCACACATATACACAAAGAGGCACCCACTCTTCGCAAGATAAGTAGGTTTCCTCTGACGCAAAGGTTATAGGCGGTCAGGCTGGTACGAGGCGCTAAGTCCCAGCTTATTGTTTTCGGAACCATTTCCCAGGTGCCAACGTAGCTTACTTTCAAGTAACCGTTTAGTGCTGGCCAATATGCTCCCCCTCTAAGCCCATGCGCAGTAGTCAATCCTGGGAACTGAGGGCAAAGTCCTCTCCCATCTCCCGTCTCCAATCACCTTATTTGGGCGACTTGGAATGGGAAGGTCCAACACCCGTAGATCTGCAACAAATTCTACAGTTTTCACATCCCAGCATTTTCTGCGAGGAATCGGGGGGATAAAAGAAGGCTGCTTGCCACAAATTTGCAGGCTCGGACTAAGCAAGGTCCGAGCAAGCTCCACGGCCCCCAGTCCCCCTGCAAGAAGGGGATCATCCATTGAAAGTGAAGCTGGACAATGGATGGTGTTGCTAAGTTATTATCCCCCGAGTGTGTGTGTGTGTGTGTGTGTGAATAACAGTTGAGCAGACTGGATTTTTGGAGAGAGTTTAAGAATAGCATACACCGACCAGGCAAGTCCCTCTCTCGAAGGAAGGGACGGTAGAATTGCACATCACATATTTGTCTTAGTTTTCCACTTTGGAATGACTTGACAGTCAATCCAGAATACACACATCCTCTTTGCCATCCCATGGCTCGTATGTAGGTCGACACACATGTAGCTAGACCGTGCTCATCTGCGCTGGAAGAGTTCTCTGTAGCTATCCCCATAGCCGAGGTGTCCTGGGACCTCAGTTTGCTACTCCGACTTTGACTGGCAGTGCTTGGGAGAGCGCCAAGTGCGCTACTTTGAACCCACCCATTTAGCCACAAAGGGGCACCAAATGCGGTGAATCTTAGAGGCAGCGACATCAACCCGCGTCAATGGCAGGACAACTGGAGTCCACACGTTGCCTACTCCCGGTGAAACATACACGCGCTGCAGGCTCCTTCGAGAGCTTCCCTGATGAGCCTCGCAGCCAACCAACGCGTGTGAGTCCAGAAAGGAAACTCCACGGTTCCATCATCCAGTGTAGGGAAAATGTGAACGTGTGAACGGGACTATATACCCGTGCAAACGCGAGCTCATTAAGATGCGCGCAAATCGCGTCTGCTTTCTTCTTGGGCAGGCCCTGGAGAGCAGAAGTCCGCACGCCAGCATCGGACCTCTGCGCACCCCACCCATTTCTCAGGATCACACTTCCAAGAAGCTGACGGAGGAAGAAGGCTCGCTGATTTCTCTGACTTCGTACAATGCACAAAACACACACCATTCCCTAGTCTTGCCAGCGTTCGGCTGGAACCCAATTTTGGCCTCTCATGAAGGAGGATTCTGCGCAGGTTCAAAGCCTGCATCTGTTACTAAAGCAACAGAAGCTAATAGATAGTGAGCGATCTGAGTTAATGGCCTTTCCCCTCCACTCCCCACAACATGACCCCCTCCCTGTTGGAACCAGGTTTCTCGTCCCCTCCAGGCCCATCTCCTTTAGCCCCCCAAGTCACCCCAGGCCGGGAAACTGCACTTAAAAAAAAAATAAATCCAAGTGAACGAGGAGAACATGCAGAAAACAGCAGTGTGTAGGGTTGTCTCTTGTAACTTACCGTATGCATCCTCTCTAGGCCAAGGGAAAAGGAAATGAGTGGTGCTGGTGATGGAAACTTTCCAATAGCTTCCCAGTCACCTCTTTATCTCCACCGTAGGAGCCAATTCCTATGTGCTGAGGTCCTTCACCCCCCTACAAAATATTTGAGGGGACCTGCCGCCCCAAAATTGACGGGCATTTTCATTCAAATAGCGTGCGCGTTGCGTCTTGTGATGGATTATGAGGGGCTGGGCGTGACCTACGGTCCCAATATTTTATTCAAGTTGACACCCCTGATCCCCACAATTTCACGCTACCTTGGGGGCACCTGCGGGTTGTGCGCGTTCCCTCCAAGTCACTGTGATGAGAGGCGCGCGTCCCTCTCTACGATGGAGCAAGGTGGGGATTTCTAACACAATTTCTTTCCTTTTCTCTTTTCACAAAGAGTCTCTGGACCTGTGCAGCAGGAACTCTCATATTGCGGCCTTTTCACACTGGAAAGGCCAGAGAGATCTGCGGAACTCCCTGCCCATTGATGTACTACTTTCACGCCGCTTTGGAAAGCAGTTCTGCTCTCCTCCAGAGCCGCTCTCAGCCTCCTCAGCCCCAGATGCATGGCGAAGCAATGGATCGGAATCCAGAATTGCAAGACTTTACGGCGCTGCTAAGGAAATCTGCCTGATCTTCGGCGAGAGGGAGGTGTTCGGCCGCAGGGGGAACCTCAGAGCGCTCCAGATTTTTCTGGATTCCGAATGTCCTCGCGACCCTACGCTCCAGAACTCCGCGCCGCCCTCCTTTGATCTGGAACGCTCCCGGCGCCTCCCTGGTCCAAGTTAGAGACCTGCGTTCCATCCTCAGGCGCCGCACCGCGGAGGCAGCCCCACAGCCGAGCGTCTATCCTGGTCTCCTCCCCACGTGCCGGGTGGCCCCTGGACTTCACACCCTTCAGGCAGGAGCAGCGGCCGCCACGTCCCCGCAAAAAAGTAGTTCCAGCACAATGTTTGTTAACTAGGTTATCTAGGCCGTAGAAGATTTTAATGTTGAATTTTATAGCTTTACCACGCTCTACCGTCCTTGTGAATATTGTAATATTGCATTTTTTACAAGTTACTCTTCTGTTAATGTTCCAGCTAGTAACTTTTATAATCCTCCTCAATGAAATTTTTTTGTATTCTTCCGCACCGTTAACCTCAATGGCGGCACCTCAGCCCCTGGCAGGAGGCAGAGAGATGAAATGAATTCCTCTTTAATCAGAAATAATAATAATAATAAACACACACACAAGGCTCCCTCTGCCTCTTTTATTTCAGCTTCGCTTGGAAACGGGGTGGGGTGGGGGTGGGGCTGAGGAATCCCCCCCTGTTCTCCCCCCCCAAGGCTTCAGGGATGGGGAAGAGAGAAAGAAAGAGAATGCGTGGGTGTCTCTCCGTCTATTTCTACGCCCATATTTCTTATGCAGTCTGTTGGCAATGTCTTGGTTGACTGTGAATGAGAGAGAGAGAGAGAGAGATTTCCCCCATCACTTGAGCACCTTGCTTTGTATCTGCTGGGTGCATGATGAGTTTGCAGGCCCCAATCCTCCCTCCCCATCGAGGTGCCTCTCATTATCCCTTCTATAAACCACCGGAGGCAGCCTTTTAATGCCTACCTTGAAGACGGAACTGGCCACTATAGGCTGCAGGCTTTAGTTTAGCTCTCACGTTAAAGATTCGGGGGCAGGTTTCTGTAGGGATGTGTAGACACAGCCCGACAAGACATCAAGATTCCGCCGGGAGCATACGAATCAATCTGGCTTACCCGATTCCAAATTCCACACTCACACCCCGCTCTCACACAAAAACAACTATCACTACAGCCAACCAGTGACAACCAACCAGACCCTAAGCCACCCTCAACCTCTCTCACCACCAAGGAAATACAACAAGTGAATAGTAAGAGAACCCACACAAGTAATGCTGACACAACCCGCCCCCCCCAAGTAGAAGAATAGAAGCATAACCACCCGACCCCACCCCACTCACCATTCCCCCTCTCCTTCCTTCTTTCTTTCTTTCTTTCTTTCTTTCTTTCTTTCTTTCTTTCAACTGTTTAAACCAATTCATGAACCAAGAACCTGTACATTGACCACTAATAATGAAATATATGTTGTAGATATTTTTTTCCACATTTATTATGCTGTTTTTGTGATATGCAAAAGACATGAGAAAACTTGGTATACAGTGGTACTTCTAGATGCGAACGGGATCCGTTCCGGAGCCCCGTTCCCATCTAGAAGCAAACGTAACTAGCGACGGCACGTCTGCACACGCACGCATCACTTTTCGCTGCTTCTGCGCATGTGACGTCATTTTGAGCGTCTGCGCATGCGCAAGTGGCGAAACCTGGAAGTGACGCGCTCCGTTACTTCCGGGTTGCCGCGGAGCGCAACTCGAACACGCTCATCCCGAAGCACATTCAACCCGAGGTATGACTGTACTTGTTTGTACAACATTATTCTTGTTTATAAAACCCAATTAGAAGAAAGAAAGAAACTAGGATCTATTTCATAGATATTATCCTTTCTTACATTTGTGAGTTCAGCAGAGTACAACCCTTCATCAGCAAATATAAGGGAGCTGTTGATAATCTAGCTTGAGCCTTTTAATGTAAGTAATCCAGGATGCTTTGCTGCAAACTGGATTCCCTGGTATTTTCCCCTTTCCTCCCCTCTAAAACAATAAACATGCAAAACAGTCTTCGTATGAGTAAAGATAGATTTACTCACTCAGTTTCACAGTAGTGGTCTTGAGGCAGGCTGAAAATATACTTGTTGGAAAGTTGGAAAGGACCCTGAGGATAAAAGGTAAAGGTAAAGGACCCCTGGATGGTTAAGTCCAGTTAAAGGCGACTATGGGGTTGCGGCGCTCATCTCGCTTTCAAGCCGAGAGAGCCGGCGTTTGTCCTCAGACAGCTTTCCAGGTCATGTGGCCAGCGTGACTTAACTGCTACTGGCGCAACGGGAAACTATTACGGAAGCCAGAGTGCACGGAAATGCTGTTTACCTTCCCACTGCAGTGGTACCTATTTATCTACTTGCACTGGCATGCTTTCGAACTGCTAGGTTGGCAGGAGCTGGGACAGAGCAATGGGAGCTCACCCCATCATGGGGATTCGAACTGTCAACTTTCTGATCAGGAACCTCAAGAGGCTCAGTGGTTTAGACCACAGTGCCACCCGTGTCCCTGATTATACCTGATTATAGGTAAAGGTAAAGGGACCCATGACTATTAGGTCCAGTCGCGGATGACTCTGGGGTTGCGGCACTCATCTTGATTTATGGGCCGAGGGAGCCGGCGTACAGCTTCCAGGTCATGTGGCCAGCATGACTAAGCCGCTTCTGGCGAACCAGAGCAGTGCACGGAAACGGCGTTTACCTTCCCGCTGGAGCGATACCTATTTATCTACTTGCACTTTGACGTGCTTTCGAGCTGCTAGGTTGGCAGGAGCAGGGACCAAGCAACAGGAGCTCACCCTGTCGCGGGGATTTGAACTGCCGACCTTCTGATCGGCAAGCCCTAGGCTCTGTGGTTTAGACCACAGTGCCACCCGCGGCCCTTATATACCTGATTATACCTGTGTATAAACTAAGTCCAACTGCCTGCAATGCAGGAATATGCAGCTGTCCTATACGGGGATCGAACCTGCAACCTTGGCATTATTGGCAGCATGGAGATATATATTATAATTTAGATTAGGGTTGGAGTCCGAGCTGTCACTTGGCACGTCCTACATCTCTAGTCAATGATGAAGCATCAATGAGAAGAGATCAGATAGCATGGATCAGAGAAAGAAAGCAGGCCAGGGATATGACCAGCCTTATATAGGTTGTGAGCAATAGAAAGTTGTGACGCCCCTAAAACACAGAAGCACAGCCTCGCAGCCACCAGTATGCCTGGGGGCCATGGGAGCAGCATTTTGTGGTTCACCTGAGGTGCCAAAATGCTTTGGACTGGCCCTGGTCTGAAGTGTTGAGGAGCAACTTAGCTTGTATCGAAAGCTGTGTTCTATTGAATGTATCCCTGGAAAAGAGATGATAGAATCACCTCCAAGCTTCCTAGACTGCCGTTTAACCTGTGCTGACATTCCCTCAGGTGCTAGACTGACACTGTTAGGGTTGCTGATGTCATTTCCTCCTCCTCTTGCATCCTTACCTTGGGAATTATTTTCTATATTATTTATTAAATTTGTTGGTGGCTTTATCTTGCCCAAGGCAACCCAAAGCAACATACAACCAAACTAACTAACTAACTAACTAACTAACCCTGCACACCCCATAGATATATTAAAAACTAAGGGCAGGGAAAAGAAAGAAATTAGAAACATCTCATCTTGTGTGTGCCTTTTATGCTGAGAACAAAGAGCATTCAAAACTCTACCAAACCCTTTGTCATGTAAATGCAAAACTGATAACAACATCAACAACGTAACAGGCTGTATGTAACTATATAAATTCTTTTTCAAATGTGATTCAAACATATCATATCAAAATATATGGTTCTATAGACCAACTTACCATATAAATGAAATGTGTTGTGAGAAATTAAAGTCCAGCAGGTCTTCGGGCAGTTCCCTCCCTGCGAGAAGTGAAGTTACAGGGAACCAGGCAGAGGGCCTTCTTGGTAGTGGCGCCCGCCCTGTGGAACACCCTCAGATGTCAAGGAAATGAACAACCATCTGACTTTTAGAAGACATCTGAAGGCAGCCCTGATTAGGGAAGCTTTTAATATTTGATGAATTATTGTATTTTTATATTTTGCTGGAAGCTGCCCAGAGTGGCTGGGGAATAAATTTATTATTATTATTATTATTTATTTCCTTTAATAAACAACTCAGTTTTCTTTTTTTCCAGACTCAGAGATTCTGTGTCATTACATCGAAGAGTCAAGTGTTCTCTAGCAATAATTTAGTGTTCAGTTTAAGCTTCTGCTGATGCATTTGAACTCCAAATGTCGTCTGTATCCACACATTGATTATGGTATATCTCCAAACCTCCCTCTTCCCTCATCCACACTAACTTTTGAACCATTGTTTAGTTTTGTAAGGCTGCAACCCTATGCGTTTTTTCCTGGGAGTAAACCATGCTGAAACTTGCTTGTAAGTTAAAAGGCGCAGGACAATGCAATTAGTTTTGTTTCTTACTCCCCAGTTCTGTGAGTGGTAGGAATTAACCAAGGCAATCTTACACGGCCAAGTCTTTCCTGAGCACAGAGTATCGGCGAATGGTGTGGTCTTCTGTAATATCTGTTTCATTGCAGGGCTATTACTAGAGCACCCTCTCAGCATTTAGGGCAGCCTTGCAGTCATCACACCAAAGCTCTTTCCAAAAACAGACATTGTCTTTTCTCTCTGCCAGAATCGAAACTGCTTCTCCATTTCCCCGTGTTTTGGAACACAGATATTTCCAGATGAAATCCTGGTCTCAGACCCTGGCAAGTAGGTGTGACTAGCAAGTCCACACACTTGGAGGGAGCTGATGTTTAACTTAATGAGCCATCCATAGTGTTTGTGGATGATCAAACTACATCAAGCCTACTGGGAGAGCTCCTTTCCATTAAACAGTATGTCTGTTCAGGCTTATTATTATTATTTTCCATGGGGGGGGGGAGGTGAGCTCACACTATGCTATGCTGGGGTATACATCAAACCAGACTTTTTCAAAAGGGAGGGAGGAAGCCATACTTCCTCTCTGCACCCATCTACCATGCTTGGAAGTTCTCGGGCTTTTGCACAATTGACAACAAGGGGAACTTCTGAGGTACTGGGCAGAACGAGGTTGGGGCATCTGTGGAAAGATGACG